ACAATTTAGCAAGGCCCTAAGCAACTCAACAAGATCCTGTAGCTAAATAAAATATTTAAAAGGGCTGGGGATGTGGCTCAGTGGTTAAGGGCCCCGGGTTCAATCCCAGGTACCCCCCCCCCAAAAAAATGTAAAAATGGAAAAGTATACAGAAAAGGAAAAAAGAAGGGCTTAAAATTTTTATATTATAAAAAATAAATACTCAAAAAGGCAGTAATGGAGAAATTAAGGGGAACATTTTTAAAACACGTAGACTAAAGGAATGACTGAATGGCAGAAGTTAGTCCTTACCTACCAGTAACTACTTTAAATTACCCTCCAATTAACAGTCAGGGGTCAGGCCGGGCACAGGGGTGCACGCCTGTAAAAAAGCCAGACTCAGTAATACTAAGTGAGGCGCTAAGCAACTCGGTGAGACCCTGTCTCTAAATAAAATACAAAATAGGGTCGGGATGGGGCTCAGTGGCAAATGTCCTGAGTTCAGTCCGCAGTCAAGAAAAGAAAAGAAAACGGGGCGCTGGGGTTGTAGCTCAGTTGGTAGAGTGCTTGCCTTGTATGCACAAGGCCCTGGGTTCAATCCCCAGCACCACCAAAAAAAAAAAAACAAAATTAAAAAAAAAAAAGAAAACGGACAGAGAGGCTGAAGGTAAAGGACTGAACAAGACACATTGGTGGTGACGAGTGGGGGGCATGCTAGTGTCAGACACCTGGGCCTTGGGTCGGTGCCTTGGAGAAGGCCGTCATTGGTCGTTGCGGCTCTGTGCAGTGCGCTGTGCCGCTGGCTGGGGTGGACCAGGCCCCCGTGCCTCTGGAGCAGCTCATGACCTTCATTCCCCCGGGCCCCGACTCCTTTCTGCTCATCTGGAGAGGACTCCCTGCGTGGAAGGAGATTTGGTTGGATTTGTCTGGGCTTTGGAGTTTCTGTCTTTTGCGGTGCCGGGTTGAACCCTGGTGGCCACCGCTGAGCGGCTCCTCCAGCCCTAGGACAGCTGACTTGGTTGTCTGTCAATCCTGGGGGAGGGATGGGGTCACCATAAAGGTGTGCTCTGCCTCCCTCATCTTCACGTCCGTACGTGAGCTCCACCCCATGAGACCAGTCCCAACCCTGCCCAGAACTGTCCCTCCCCTCCACCCTACTCTGCTTCTTCTGAATGGCCCTTCCTGTGTCCTCACTGCTTCACTAGTTTTAAAGTCTGTGCCTCGCTCCCTTCCCCTGGTCACCAAGGGAGTGGGGTTCATTCCCGTGGAAATGAACAAAGGTCTTGCCTGCACCAGCTCCTGACTGTCCCCAGCGGTTCTGCCACGTCCCTCCTCCTCCACTGACCCAGGCCAAGACGCTGGTTCTTCCTACTGACACTCACCTGCGAGGAAAGGCCGCAGCCCTACCTCCCACACAGCTGCCCACCTGCCTGCCAGGCCCTCCCCAGGCCTCCTTGGCTCCACTGGACCCACAGCCCAGGCCCCACCTCTGCAGCCATTCAGGCCTCTGCTGCTCCCAGGGACCACCTAGTTCAGGTGCCACGGTCCCCGCTCCCCAGGGGCTCTCCTGGGTGCATCTTCTTCCTGCCAAGCTGGCGTTGGGCCCCCCAGCTCTTGCTATCTCTGGCTTGCTTCCTGTATTCCTGTGCAGAGGTCATTTCTGGGTGGAGCAACCCAGGCCCGGACTGCCTGAGCCTGCCCTGGTGTTAGTGTCCTGACCCAAGGACCCTTGGCCCTGGGCAGACCCAGACTTGGTCCCCCAACTGCAGAGACTAAAAATCTTCCTCGATGACATTTTTTCTGTGCTGGTCATTGCCTAGAGGCCCAGTGGGTGTGTGACACATGCTTGATGGGTGAGTGGACGAGGCACAGACCTCTGAGGACTCTCCCCAGTCAAACTGTGGGTCTGGGAGGACCCTGCTGTCCTCCTCGGGGTGGGGGAACTTGCTGCTTCTCCAGGGGCACCCCTCGTCAGCCGGCCCCATTCCTCAGCATTTCCCTGCTGCGCAGGTGTGGTCCCAAGTGGGGTGGGGTTTCTGTGGGGAGGGCACTGTCTGGCATGGCAGTGGACCAGGTGGCTGTGGGTCCTTGTGTCTCAGAACCCTGGGGAGTGGGTGTCAAATCCAGCCCAGAGCCAGGGAGTGCTACTGCCACCTGGTGGCAGCACACACACCCTCCAGGAGCGCCTCCCTTGTCTCAGCAAGATGGCAGGGCAGCGGGGGTCTGCGGGAGGCCATGGGCCTCACCTTTCCTACCCGTGGGTCATGCAGGGCAATGGTGAAGTCTTGAGGGAGCATGTCCCTGTCTGGTGGCAGCAGGGTCCCGCAACACCCCTCCAGCAGACCTTCCCTCTCCAGACTAGCAGGGGTTCCCGTGCTAGTCTGTGCGTGAGACTCGGGTGGATCCAGGGACAGAGGCTGAAGGTAAAGGTCAGAACAAGACATATTGGTGGTGAGGAGTGGGGTGGATTGGGGTGGGGGCTTGGACATTGTAAGGGCGCCCTTGTGGCCAGGAGTCAAGAGCAGGAACTTGTGCCTGACGCTGGTCATCCACCCACACAGGCCTCTCTGGGGAGGGGACAGGCTGTGGCTGGGGACCCTGGAGAAGTGGGAGCAGAGCTGCAGCCAGCCAGCCCGAGGCCCTGAGGGGCAGGCTGGGAGTGCCTGGAGCACGTCCTCTGGGCAGGCCCTGCCCAGCACCCAAATCTGCCCTCTGAGCCCCTTGCCTGACCTGGCTTCTGTGCCCCAGTGTTGGGGGCACTACCGCTCCTTTATGGGGACCTTTGGAAGGGGATGTCTGGCCACACCACGTGACACTGGCCCCGTGTAACCTGAAGTCTACTATGAGAACACTGCCTCACCCCCTGGCAAATCCCAAGGTGCCCCTTCCCTGGGGCAGGGCCAGCCTGTGGGATGTCCTGGGGTCCAGCCTCATGTGGGGTGGGCCCCATTGCTTTCCATGGTCTGGCCTTGTCCCTGGCAGCTGCCACTGTGACATCCTTGCCCCTGCCATAGGCCTTGGCCCTATTTTAACTAGTTCATGTGGGTCCCATGTCCCCAGGGGCCATGTTGCATTGCAGTCCCGGATCCCTGACCTCCAGAGAAGAGCAGCCAGGTGGGTGGGTGTTAACCCAATTTTCAGGGAGCAGGAGCCCCCAGTGCAGGAGGGCAAAGGCAGCCCAGGGACCCGTGGCTGGAGGAAGGGCAGCCTGGCCAAGGCTGGAGGTCAGAGGGTGCCTGCAGACAGCAGCAAGTGGCGGTGCAGGCCAGGCCTGGGTGCCTGTCTCTGGTCACATCGTCAAATGGCAACAGTACCCAGACGGTGACAGCAGCTGGGGAGGGCAGCCAGGAGGCTCGTGAGCTGCAGGAGAACTCCGGGAGGTGGGTCCTAAGGCCTACTGCTGAGGGACCCTGGCCTGGGGCCCAAGGTGATGCTGTGGGGCAGAGAGGCCCTCTGTGGTCCCTCTGCAAGCAGGGCACCTGATGGCCCTTTGTGAGCATAGAACATTGGAGAACCCACCTGCCAGCAGATGGCCCTGGGGCAGGAGGCCCATCATGAGGGAACTCAGAAAGCATGCTGAGGGGCTCCAGCCACATGGGATGGAAGCAGGACCCACTGGCTAATGTCACCCTTGACTGGGGACCCCCACCCTCCTATCAGCTCAGTGCCTGTGCCCGCTGCGCAGCCTCTTTCCCACAGGGAAATATGCCCCAGGTCTAGAGAGGTGGGCTGGGGCCTCTGTGCTTACAGGTGGGCACTGGACACCCATCCTGCATGGCCACCGGGTAAGTGGAGTGGGCTGGATGGTCCCCAGGAGTGCTGGCCTATGGGCAGAATGCTTCAGGAGAGAAAACTCAGTGCCCACCTCTGCACTGATGGCACAGTTGGCAGCGGGCGAGCTTGGCAGGGCCTGGGAAGGCCATCCAGGAGACAGTCTGCCAGGACACAGAGCCTTGCTCCAGAGCCTGGCCTAAGGCCCCCAGTAGGACTGCTGCTCTGCGTGGCAGGGGCTGCCACATGGACCTTTCCAGGTGACACACATGCTACCCTATGAAAAGTGCCACTGTGACCTGAAGTGGATGACCTCAGGGTGGATACAGGCCATGGAGCCAGGGCACTGGTCTCAGGGAGTCCATATAGCTGGGCCCCTGACCCCTGTCCCTTGCCAGCTCTCCAGGCTGAGGCCAAGGGGGGCTCCCGTCCTTTCACAGGGCTGGGGGATGTAGATACCATGTCTGTTACTATAACTGAACACCACAGACTGAGAAATTCATAAAGAACAGAGGTTTATTTGGCTCATGGTTCTGGAGGCTGGGGAGCCCAACAGCATGGGGCCGCAGCTGAGGTCTGGTGCTGGTGGCCTTTGTGCTGAGGGAGTCAGAGTGGAGGCTGAGCAAGGGTGCCCACCAGAGCTAGCTTTTGTAACAGATGGCCCGTGGACTCCCAGGGGGGCTTGCCAGGGCCCCACCTCTCAATGCTGCTGCATTGGGGACCAAGTTTCCAGGGGATACAAACCACAGCAAGCGCCCCTTGTCCACACGGGTCCGTCCAGTCACTGCTGACAGGACCCCTTGGTCCTGTACAGGGGCCAGCAGCTGGGGGCCTTAGGGGCTTTCCCGATGCCTGGGTCTCCCTGGGGACCTCACCCCTGGGGACCTCACCCCTGGGCCCAGTTGGCCCACTGACGACCAGAGGACCTAGAAAGTCCACTGCCATGGAATCTGAGGGGTGGGACCCAGGTGACCCCCCACTCCCGCGCTCAGCACCAGGCTGGAAGGAAACAGGTGCGAGGGACCTGGACCCGCACAGCCAGGTTTGTTGAATAGGTGAAGGAATAAATGAAGGTGTCCTGCGGGCCCCTGCAGCGGGGAGGGGCTCCTTCTCGCCAGCCTGCGGTCGGGCAGGGGGCGGCGCAGGGCGAGGTGGTGCGCACAGCGGGGCGGGCAGGGGACGGGGCGCGGGCGCGGAGGGGGCTCCGTAAGAAACACCAGGGGGAGATTGCGCTTTCTCTAAAAGAGCTCTGTATACACCGCCCTCGTCGGGCCGGCTCCCAGGGCGCGAGCCAGCTCCGGGCCGCCGGGCACGCTCCCTCGTCCCGGTCCTCGCCTTGGTCCTGTCACGGGGTCCACGGGCTGCCAGACCGCCCGCCGCCGAGTGGCACAAAGGAGGAGCCCTCCAGGACGGCGGCACAGAAGGGCCGGGAGGGCGTCAGGGAGCGGCACACCAGGCACCGCGGGGCTTCCAGGTCCGGAGCGCGCCCTGCGGGAGAGAGGGGGCTGAGCCCACGCCCACGCCCACGCCCCGCCCACGGCCCAGTGGCCACGCCCACCACTGCTCGGCCCAAAGGCCACGCCCATGCCCAAGGACCACGCTCACCCAGACAATGCCCTTGACTCAACGGCCACGCCCACCGCCCCCGACCTGGCCTGCCAATCCGTGAGACCTTGCCTGAGAGCCTCCGCCATGGCCACGGGTCTCCACCAAGCAGCTGCCCACCAGAACCTGTCCACAGCCCCAAGACCATAGCCACCATCTCAGCTATGCTCACCTGTCCCTGAGACCTCATCTGCTAGCTCTGGCTACACCCACTGCCATGCCCACGCCCACTGGCCCCTGAAACCACATCCATCAGACTAAGGACTGCGCCATCCTCCCTGAGGCCACGCCCCTCGGGGAGGCAGTCCTGGTCTGGGGTACGCCCACTTCAGGTGGCCCTCACACCCTGAGCCGCCAGGGCCATCGGGAAAATCCAGTTCCAGCTGGCTTCCAAGCCCACCCTCCTCTCCCAGCTGGACCCTCCCTACCAGCTTCCCCAGCTTTCCAAAGACCCAGGCCCCACACAAATCCAGGCCAAAGAGTGGGGGCGTCCTGTCTAAGGTGAAGGCCATGAAGTCTAGGGAGGCCCCCGTCGTTCCTCCAACTGGCTTCCCAGCCCAGAAGCGAAGGCAATCCCGCCAGGGGGAGTAGGTTGAGGGCGCGCTGTGTCCTTGCCCCTGCCCTGTGGGACACAGTGTCTTGGGACACTGAGCAATTCAGGCTTCCGGAGGCACTGCAACGTTCGCACCCCCCAGAGCAGAACCCAGCAGCACCACCAGCACCTCTGGGAGACTCCCCCGCCCTGCTGGGAGGCCAAGGGAGGAGGAGCCTGTCCACGGGGCGGGGCCCCAGGGCTCACGGACACAGGCCACAGCTACCTCCAACCCCCAGGCCTCCTCAGGGGTCCTTCTTCCTCCAGCTCCGCGCGTGCCTCTAGCCTCCTCCGCTGGGTGGCACTCAGGAGGACCAGCCCCAGCCCCTCCTGCCCTGGGCCCTTCCCTGTGCCCAGGACCAAGATGGGAGGTGGGCCCAGGGCAGGTGAGGGCAGGTTGCTCCTGTCCACACCCACGGCTAGTGGCCCTTGGTCTTTGGCTGCCTGGCCAGCCCTCCTCAGGGAAGGGGTGGGCCTGTGCCAAGCCCCCTGCCCCATGTGCAGATCCATCTCAGGCCCTGGAGGCCACATCTGCAGCAGTGATCAGGCTCGAGGCCAAGGGCAGGGGCCTTGTCCACCAGTGCAGCCAGGGCCTCAGCAGGCTTGCAGTGGTCTTCAGAAAATGTGTCCCACTGGACAGGGTCAGGGACCAAGGTCGGCAAGCTCCTAGAGGCAGGCACGCTTGAGCCTTCATGGGGAGGGAAGGATGGGTCCTGGGCAGAAAAGGCCCAGGCAGGTGGGCTGAGGGGGCAGAGGAGCTGCTTAGATGGGGCAGGTGCCCATGCAGTGGGCCCTATGGGATCTAGATCAGACGTGGGCATCAAAACACAAAGCGTCCCCAGGAAGTAAACGAAAGCTGGCAAAACTGTGAGGAACCATCGACCCCAGCAGGGCAGGGGAGCCAAGGAGCCCCAAAACTGCTCCTTCTGAGGCTCCGCCCACCAGGGCGGGGGCTGTGGGTCCCATGGAAGAGCACCCCTGCAGGGGGTGATCCTCCAGCAAGAAAGCGGCCTCTGCCAAGGGCTACACCTTCAGTGAAAGGATGCACCCAGGACACACCTTCCACACCTGCGCCCCTTGGCCAAGAGGAATATTCCTCTGTGCTGAGCCCCGCGGGCAATCCCCAAGTTAGCCCCCAAGAGATTCCCAGGGCACCGGGTTTGCAGAGAGATGTCTGGGGCATCCTTCCCCAGGGCCCCGCGGAGGCAAAGGCCACTCTAAGAGAGTGCAAAGAAGGCCCGCGGCTTTTTTTTTTTTAAAGAAAATGAGCAATTTATAATAAAATATGAACAAGTGTCAGCAGACAGAGCCAACAGGGCCAGGGACTTCAGTTGGGATTACCAGACCACTAGACACAGAATATGCACACCTTCAAATACACCCTAGAAAGCACAAGCAAGAAAAAGAACTAGTATAAAAAACGAATACAGTCAGGTACAATGGCATCACCTGTAATCCTAGCGGCTTGGGAGGCCAAGGCAGGAGGATAGCAAGTTTAAGGCCAGCCTCAGCAATTTACTAAGGCCCTAAGCAACTTTATGTTGAGACCCTGTCTCAACATAAAAAATAAAAATGATGGGGGAACAAATAAATAAAATATAATAGTAAAATAAAAGGCACCCCTGGGTTCAATCCCTGGTACAAAAAAAAAAAAATGAGTACATAATTTTGTGTGTGTGTGTGTGGGGGGTGGAACCCGGGGCCTCATGAATCCCAGGTAAGTGCTGTACCACTGAGCTACACCCCAGTCCAGTAGTTTATTAAAAAGTAGAACTTCTAAAAAATGAAAACTAGATTAACTGGAATTGAAACCTCAATGGATTCATACCACTGAATTCCATGAAGACGGAATGAGCCAGAGCCAGGCAAGAGGGCATCTCAGACCACAGTGCAGGAACCCAACCTGCAGAAGGAGACAGCCGGGTGGCCGCACTGTTTAAAGAGCTGGGGGTGGAGGAAGTCCACGACAATTAATGACAGCGGCACAGGCTGAAGAAGTCAGAGAGTCCAGCTTGAACAAGGAAGACGGAAGTTCCTTATCCAGAGTGTATCAAAACGGCCTACGCAGCGGGTTCTTTGATTTGTCTGCTGAAATTTTATGTTTTACTATCACCAGTTTCAAAATGGTGCTATTCGCCTATTCTTTCCTCTGCAGTTGAAGACTTTTTTCACTATTTAGAATTTCAGTCTCCTGTGAGTCTTTTTTCGTGAAGCGTGGAGTCTGCGAGGCACAGTGCCACTCGGCCCCGTCACTACTGCCCAGTGGTGTCCCACTGTGCAAAGCTTGGCAGGCAGCTTTTGGTTGTGATGCTACCTTCTCAAGATCTATGAGATTGATAAGTGCAAGTCTGGCTTATCATCCCATTCCCCCCATGACAGACAGCATGAGTTCCTGTGTCTTCTGCCTACACCTGGAAGTGGGCTGCTGGGTCCTAGGGTGGAGCATGTAGAATGTGCCAGTTATGAAGCTCTGGCTTTCTTTTTCTTTTTTGGTACTGGGGATTGAACCCAGGGGTGCTTTTCCACTGAGCCACCACATCCCCAGCCTGTTTCCCTCTTTATGTTTTATTTTGAGGCAAGGTCTTAGCTAGCTAAGTTGCTTAGGACCTCACTAAGTTGCTGCGGCTGGCCTTGAACTCCCAAGCCTCCTGCCTCAGCCTCCTGAGCTACTGGAATTACAGATGTGACCACTGAGCCTGGCTCACCCTTCTAATTTTTTTTCAATAAATTTTTTTAGTTGTTGATGGGATTATTTTATTAATTTATTTATATGTGGTGCTGAGAATCGAACCCAGTGCCTCACATATGTGAGGCAAGCGCTCTACCACTGAGCCTCGACCCCAGCTCCCTAATTTTATTAATACAACTTCATCCTTCTGTTACTAGCTTGGCTGCTTAAGTTACCCTGATAACTTAAATGTCCCCTTTTGTTCTTCTCTTAAGCTGCACGTGGGCACTCCCCAGCCTCATAAGTAATTAAAAGTCATTAAAAATATAAAAGAAGCAGTCTAAAGGCCAGGTTTCCCAGGCACGGGGAAGCGCAGCATGATATGCCCGGCTTGCTCTGCGGCGGAGCCTAGCTTTGTCATCAAGAGGATACCTGCTGACCAAAAGCTCCCTTGAGTGTGCAGTAACTCCCGAGGGGCATTCTCATGAATGAGAGGGACCCCACGGGAACTCTGAGATCTGGGAGGCCCGAGGGCCCCGAGGAGCTCACGCAGGTCAGCCTAGGCAGTGGCTGCGATGGCGGCGGTAACACCCGGTGGATGGGCCAGCGTCCAGCTGCGTGTCCACGTCCAGCTGCGTGTCCACGTCCAGCTGCGTGTCCACGGCAACCGGACGGGTAGGGGGGCCGGTCTCCCTTGCCTCAAGGTCATCACGTTTTCTGGGTCGGGGCAAAGGTATGATTTTTTTTTCCAGTGCTGGGGAGCAAACCCCCAAAGTAAGATTTTCTTTGCTTTGGGCTTTGTTAAATAGTAATTTTAAAAAATACCTTTGTTTTATTTATTGGTTTATTTTTATGTGGTGCTGAGGAGGGGCCTCAGGGCCTGGCGCAGGCTAGGCGAGTGCTCCACCGCTGAGCCACAACCCCAGCCCCTGTTAAATAGCAATTTGACCAGAGACAGAGTGCACAGCTTCCAAACCAGAAGAAGAGAGACAGCAGGGCACAGTGGCTCACACCCTGGATCCCAGCGACTCTGGAGGCTGAGGACCTCAAGTTCAAAGCCAGGCCGGGCAACTTAGCAAGACCCTGCCTCAAAACAGAAAGTGAAAAGGTTCTTTGGGCCAGAACCTCCGTCTTCCAGTAATTTGCTAAAATATAGAGCATAGGGCAGGGGAAGGGCCCACAGGTGTTCTCCAGGCTGGTGGGAGCATGGAGCTGTCCCCTTGTACCATGCATCTACAAGGTGATGTAGAATCTACAGGAATGGTGCTGTTCAGAAGCGCACGCCTGGAGAGTGGTCCCCAGTGAAAACCTGGGAGGGCGCCTGGCATTACCCAGCACACTGTCACCTGGCAAACAGGCAGTTCTGCAGGAGGACAGTGGTTCAGTGTGTGAACTGAGCAACTCAGTCTCTCTCAGAGCACAGACAGCTTCCTGAACCCTGTGAAGGAGCACAGTCAGGAAAAGGCAGCCAAAGAGAAAGGCCATTCACTGGAAGGCCAGCCACCCTGTCCAGAGAAGCCCTGTGAGGACCGCCGAGGAGCGCCTGCTGGGAGCTGGCCCTGTGGGGCAAAGGAATAAAGGACTCTGGCCTGTAAACACGGTTTCTTGACTGAGTAGCAGTGT